CGAACGAAAGTTGCATGGCTTGAAGGGGGACACATGATGGAAATGTTGACCTTGAGTAACCTTGTCAAAATCAGGTCAAGGTTAATGTTTTTTTAAATGGAAATCCCTATTTTTTTATTACATATTTTATAGCTTATCTCGAGAGCTTTTCAAAACACTATAATAAAGTTAAGTACTTTCGTTAAATACTTTCGTTAAGTATTTGTTAAGTTATAAGGCAAGACCATAGATCTTATATGTATGACTGGTAACAGATATGATTATCCTCCGCGGGAGATTGGAGAGAGAAACGTCTCTCTTTTTCTAAGTGCGGTGCGGGGATGGTATGCGCGCTTGTGGACGCGGTGGTGGCGCGGTGCGGGACGCTCGCTCGGTTGCGTGGCGCGGCGCGGGACGCGTTCACGCTCGTTGGTACGGTGCGTGGCGCGGTGCGGAGTGCGTTAGCACTTGTTGGCGCGGGGAAATACATACATGTTTTCGTGGTGTTCTCCGATGCTTCGGAGTTCGCATATGGATGTATTTAAAAAAGGAGGTATTACTGCCTCTTTGCGACCACTGCCGCATTCCGCCTGGTATTCGGCGGTCCCCAACGGATGGTCGGTCGGGGGAAATTCGGAGGAGGAATGGAGCGGAGGGATGCGCTCCGTTACATATGTTTGACTATGAAGTTTTTCATTTTTTATTCTATCAATATTTATTGTTTTCGATCATATTATTATATTAATCCACCATATGCTTCGAACTTATGCGCAATACATATTTCCAGACATTTTAAGAGAAAGAAGTATCAAAAAGTACATCTCTCCGTCTAACCTCCCGCGGATACTGTTTCTTATGCAGAAACTATAGCAATTGCCAATCCATATTTATAAAGTCTATGGGCAAGACCGATCCGGCCAACTAAGGCAAGACCGACCACTGATCTGGCCAACTAAAGCAAGATCGATCACTGATCCGGTCAATTAAGACAAGATCGATCATTGATCCGGTCAACTAAGGCAAGACCGATTATTGATCCGACCAACTAAAGCAAGACCGATCACTGATCCGGCCAACTAAAGCGCATGCGTACATGGATAACGCCGGCGGTACTATAACTTTCAAGCTCCATAATTCGGAAAGTACTCAATGAAACGTAACTTTATTATAGTGTTTTGGAAAGCTCTGTATTCTTTATCGGAAGTAGCTTGCTTCCCGCTCAATAAAATTATTCGCAGCTAGCGACAGATTCTTTTTTGTAAAACTGTAAATTAAAAGTCGTGTAATTAATGCGTATTGAGACTATTGTATTTGAGAATAAAAAATGAACTTGGAGATACTTAAGTAGATTTATTTATGCCGTCCTCTTAATTGCTATAAGTCGCGCGCTTTCACGAACAATTATTTTTTTTATTTTAACTTATTTTTTTTTATTTTTTATTATTTGTTTACTTAACCTTATGATTATTATATTATTTATTTTAATTATGTAAGTTAATTTTTATTTACATATTGACTATGTATCATTAGTAAAATAATAAAGCCATTATTATGGGATGTTTGATGCACTTCATGAGTATTTCATTAATATTCATTAATCTTCATTAATTGTAATTCATTAATATTCATTAATTGTATAATTAATCATTAGCTAAGTTTTGTACATATTGAATATGGAATAATTGAGAAAAACACGGTGAATGGAAAAATAATTTGGATTCGGTGAACTTTTTTCCTTCTAAAAATATTTCTGTTGTATCATTTTTTTCATAAATGTCTTTAATGCAGATTTATCTTTCAATATAACACAATTATCTGATATCTTCAATTCATACTTTTCAGTATTATTTACTTTATAATAAGTATAAATAATTTTAATATAAACTTAGACTTTATATTGTTTCCGTAATAGTGGATATTTTGTCACATTATTTATTTGTTGTATTCGTTCTTGTTCTTTAAGTATGTTACAAATTTGCTATAAAGGATGTAGTGATGTACGCATTTTTTTCTTTATTTCGAACAAATAATTTTCAAATTTAAAACAGCTAAAACTTTCTAGTGGACCGTGCTTAACACAATCTGCAGGCAAATATATCAGACCATGTACGTTATGAGTAAAATACTGTTAGTCCAGCTCAGAGTAAATTGTAAGAATTTAAATGAATGAGAATTGAATGGGCTCGGAAGGACGAATAGCTGCTCTCTCGAAAGTCAGGCGTGGAAACGTCTCTCGAGTCGAACGCACTGTTTATGTCTCGGCACTGGATCAGCGATAAAGAATCGCTATGAAAGAATCGCCTTGCTGTAAACGTACGTTCGTTGGTCGGTTTTTTGGTAAAGAAACTTAATTCTTATTATCAGGGAAAGACTTGGTGCGATCAATGAGATAGAGATCAAGGATTTTTAAAGAAAATAAAATTAAAATTCAAACATTAATTTTAATTAGTAAAATAAAGATATACATAATTAAAAAAGGAAGAAACAAGAAACATCTGTGTGTATATATATGTGTGATATCGCGGGTGTTACATACGGAGGCCATTAGGTAGAATTCTTACAAGGGAGAGTGTGAATGTATAAGTGTGTGTGTGTGTGTGTGTGTGTGTGTGTGTGTATCAATCTTTAGTACGATAATCCTACCGGTAATACAATTACTGTTCTTTAATTAACTTAAACTAGTGATTACATAATAAACTGAATAGAAGAAAGATTACAAAAATATAAAAATAAAAAATTATATATAATATGTGTATAATGAAGATTAATACATAAGGGCTAAGGAGGCGAGTATTCTTGATGTTCCTCGGCAGGTGGGGTTATTAGATCGATGGGATGGAATTCTTCGTACTCTAAATCTTCAAAGAGAGGTTCGCCATCTCGGAATAGATAATTATAAATATTACATATCTGTTTTTAAATTTATACTTACTGTTTAATGTCTTGAAATTTTTTTGAAGTAATTTTTTCTTATTACAAAGATTTTATATTATATTAAAATTTGATTTATGTTGTGGATTATATCGTCATGACTCTCATGGCCATATTTTTTTGGCAATATTTAGATTTCGCCGAATTATCTATTCTCACAGAATCGCATTAAATACACGAAAACATTGCATGTATCCGATATCATATCCGATTCATATCCGATATCAGCTCAATAGAATAGATTTATTTTCTATATTTTCTTGTAAATAATTTCTTTTTGTATTGTTCGGAACTAGACATATATTCCATGATTGTTTTCAAGTGTTTGTAATACCAAATTTCTGCGGGTTGAACATAATTCGAAATGTTTAACGATAGAGACAATAGACAAGAGACAAACAATAATAGCAAACAGATTCTCCTTCGAAACTGTATTTGTTTGTAAGAATTAAAATATTTGTTATTTAAGAATAACTGATATTATAACTCGAAGGAGAAAAGTATAAGGAAGAGAACTGATACGGATATGTACAGACGTGTTTTTAGATCATGAATAAAAGACACTTTGATGAATCGGACTTTTGCACAATATTATTCGATCTTTCCGCCTCTGTGAGGCATTCCATACCGTATATATTACCCAAAATGTGTGTAAAGAAAATAATTAGAAGAAGAAAAAGTAGAAATGGCAAATAATAAAAAATAACATAATTATAAAAATACATATAATAATTATAAAAAAGACGACGCAGGAAATTGTTACGTCCAGCCCAAAAGAATTAATAAATTAAAGAAATAATGAAATACATATGGGCTCGGAAGGACGGAACAGTTGCTCCTTCGAGGGTCAAGGGTGATAAGCGTGAGCCTTCGGATCGAACGCACTGTCTACGTCTCGACACTAGGTCAGCAATAAGGATTCGCTGTGACATCATGATCTAGACGCGCGTTAATTGGTCCGTTTTTAGGTTAGGGAAATAACTTAATCCCTTTTATCTGAAATAGGATCTCGTATTCTTAGCGTGGAGCATGGAACGAAAGAGGAAGAATTTTAAATAACAAAACATCAGTAAATTGGATTTACATTTAATTGATAATTTCGAGCAAATACAATTTAGCAAAACTATAAAGATTTATACAATCATTATCTCTAGTTTCCAAGTACATATATCTAAGATGTACATATAAATATATATATATAAAATGACATTTGTTCGTGCGTGCGTGCGTGCGTGCGTGCGTGCGTGCGTGCGTGTGTGTGTGTGTCGCGGATGTTACAAATGTTCGGAGGGCATCAGGTAGGATTCTTAGCGTAGGTCATGTAAATGTTTGGATTATAATTTCTAGATGATATTCCTACCTCCGGTTATATAATAAACTCTTAAATAAACTTAAGCTAATAATGTGAATGTAAGTTATTATTAACAATGAATTATGGAGGGGAGTAACCTTGATCCTCTTCCGGGGATGGGGTTTCCAAATCGCGATAGAGGCAGGGTTCTTCCAATAACTCAGGGGGAGCTTTTCGTGCTGCCAGGGACTTGGGGATAGGTCACTAAAATCTGAAATAGGAGATTGTGTGCGGGATCGTGGTTCAGGTGAGTAATTAGGTTCTATAGGATAAATCAAGGGTGATTCAAGGGTTTGTAGGACAGGGAAGTAATTTAA